ATGGATGGGGATGAATGCGCTCATTATATATGCTTTGGGTGCTTGTGACCTCTTCTCGGCAGGTTTGCAAGGTTTCTATTGGCGGTCACCAGAGAATAACTTGGTAATCTTTATCTTTCTTCTCTGCTGGAAAAAAGAAGAGAAAAGACCGAAATGTTTTTGTTTGCTGTAGTCTTTTAATATTCCTTGCATTAATTGTTGATTTGTTGGATGATTTGTCACATTGGCTAGTTTCATAATAAATAGTTTGGAGGGAAATGTGATGCAGGTTGATGGGACAGAGGCATTATTGCAGGACATGCTTCGATCGAAGAACTGGGGTACCCTAGCATTTGTAATACTTGAGATTTTATTTTGGGGTCTTGTTTCCGGGTTTCTTCACATGAAAGGCGTGTATATAAAACTGTAAAATGGTACCAGTTTTAATTTCCTGTAGTGACAAAATTTAAGGACATCATCCTTGTTAATATTACAAGAAATTGTATAAATAATATTTCGGGATTATTATTTTAAGCATTAATTTTCTTATCTGATAAAACAGAAATCTGCTAATAGACATTTTGAATGTAGAGCAATTAACATTAGTACTTGATGCGAGCAAAATTCTATCTCCACAATCAAATCTGTATGTATTGTAGCTAGGTAGAAATCAAAGCCATGCACTATGCGGTACCTTATCTATATCTAATGATGCACAAAAAGAAGATGCATGCATCCATGGCCGACGATCGTGATCCTAATATTAATTGACGGTGAACTGCATGCCTCCGGCTCCATCAAATATATAGCTATATATCTATATATGTTACTGACGTGCACGTACTTTCACTTTGTTAGTTTAGCGAAGTCCATGATGTGGATGTTTCCGTTGCACGCACTTGTGGTCTTGCAGACTGCGTACCTCAGTTCGTTCAAACTAGGCAATATACTTTTACCTAAATGATCACGTGAAATTATAATTGTTTATTTGGTTTACGGTGTACATGCATGTATGCAGGATTTGATTAGAATTTTGTAAGAGCAGCATTTTTGTTGAAAATAATAACATAATTCTAATCAAATCTTGCATACATGCACGTACACCTTAAACCAAATAAACAATTAATATAGGTTGACACATCCCGATTCCGTTATCTCCAAATATCAGGGTAGGGACGTGCTAGCTGACATCCGATGGTGACGAAATTATTTTAAACATGCATACAATAAAATATGTAATTAGAAAGAAATATGCTAATGCAGAAACGTGTTCAGAGCATACAACTAATCAAGAATGATATGAAAGCATTATTCTAACAAGGCACGAACAAAGGAATGGGTCCTACACAGAGAAGACTCGAAGATACCTATGCGTAAGCGTCCTGACACCGGGATTGTATGCCTCGATTCTAACTCCTATAGGGGGTGCAAAACAAAGGGTGACTGGACCAAAGTTTATAATACTAATACTAATAATAAGAAAATCATTTTCTTTCTAAACATACTAACCCCCTGTTTTGAAAGCTCATATATTGTACTATATAGTAGGTTTTCTGAAAATTTTAACATGCCATGAAAAACATTCGTAAAACATGTACGTGTAAACCATTGTTCAGTAATGGTAATATAGTCGCCCAAAGGCAAATCCAAGAAACATCCGTAAATCACATCAATGATGTACTCAACTGGGGATATCATAGTCGCCCGAAGACATAACTATCACCTGAAGGTAAAGCTGTACGACACTGGGTTACGCCAATGAAGAAATAATGGGTCTATCACTCGAATGTGAATCTGTACAACTTTGGGTTACACCATAGAAGAAATATACATACATATATACACACACACACACACACATAACACACCGACATTAGCCGTGGCTAGTGAAGCTGGAACTACATCATAAATATCATCAACTGTGTCCTATGGCCATAGACGTCTACATACTCGTGTTGTGTGTGTGTGTGTGTGTGTGTGTGTGTTATATAATAACTCACTAGATAAGCACCAAAAACGTATCTCAAAAACTTGTATCAAAATACCGAAGCTCAAAAGCTCAAAGCCTCATCTCATAAATCCATGAAATTCGTATTCGTAAATCCATAGAATTTCACATACAAAAATACAATAATTCATAACCTTTGGTGAAACGTAAATTTAATAAATCATAAATAATGCATAAAACGTAAAATCATGAAATCATGCTTTTCATAAATGCAAGCCTAATATTTTATAAAAACTTGTGAGTTAAGAAGGGGTCCACTCACAGATATTTTGTTGATGGGGAGCCGCTTGAACTAGAGAGGACGGTGTCACTTCCCACCGACACACCTAAACACAAATAGAGGTCATTTAATAAAACTCTGCTAATACGATAGAATTTGGGAAAACAGACAATGAATTTGGATTCGGCACGTCGAAAAACCTAAAAAGGGACCTCAGGTCCCCCATGTGCCGAGATGGGTCGCCGGCGGAGCCCTATGTGTTCCACGCGTCGGCCATGATAGCCCTCCATGCGTCGACCATGGAAACTGGGATTGGATTCGGGTTGGGTCGGATTTGGGTTTTGGGTCGGTAGTTGGGTTGGGCCTGGTAGCTAGGTTAGGCCGGGTTACTGGGTTGGATCCAGATTATTGGATTGGGCATAGTTATTGGGTTGGGCTTGGTTGTTGGTTTTGGATTCGATTTAGGTTAAGGGTTGGGTCGACTCAGATTCCAGCCGTGGATCGACCGGACTCAGCGAAGAAGAAAATTGAAAACTGGGAAAATTATCCAGAGCTCCGATCAAGCTCAAATCTATACTATTTTCAATAATCTATAACTCAAAATGAAGCTAAGGAAGAGGAGAACAAGGATTTACCCATTCGAGGACTGGTTGTGGCCGGAGTTGGCAGAAAAACGGCTCAGAGCCGTCGAAATCCCCTGAAATCTGGGGAACTTTTCCTCCCAGTCGATCTGTACCAAAACTTCATCAATAAGCATGTCTAACCTAACAACTAAACTTAGAATAGCTAGATGAGAAAGACTAAGGGAGTCCCGAGACTCACCTTCATTAGAAAAATCGAGGAATCATTAAGAAAAATCAAGAATAATGGCAACAGTCACTGTGCGTTTCGAACCATCAACCTGGCATCCTAAGCACGTTAAGGGAAATGATGGTGGTCTGAGTGGTTTGCCGAAGGAAGAGTGGCGAGGTGGTGGTTGTTCTGAGAGAGGGAGAGAATGATGAGAGGGAGAAAGAGTTCAAAAGAGTTCGAGAGATTATGGGTGGGAGGACACGGGGAAGAAGGAGAAGTGGGGTGTGGGCTCCACGTGATAGAAAATTATAAAATAATAAAAATATCTAACCCTAATATCTAGAATAGTGAATTGACTACTTTGCCTCTCGACTACGTAGTTCGGTAAAACGTTCATAGTAACTCCAAATTCGATTTTACTTTGCGCCCACACATCCGTAATGCTAAGTACTACAAGGATATGCCAAGGAAACGAATCTTACATGACACAACAAGACGGTCTACAAAAGTCAACATTTTTACCTCGAAGGACGTTTTAGTAAATTCATGCTTTAAAATTATAAAAACCGAAATATTTGGGAACGGGTTGTTATAGAGGTAGGGTCTACCAACAAATATATGGTGAAACTCTTTTCCAGCATATCTTCCTCAGTAATGGTATCCCCACAGAGCTTCATCTGAAAGGTAATTATGAACAATGCAGAATTATACGCAGCCACTGACTTGAAATTCTGGATCCTTAGGTAAGTCCATTCTTAGCAAGCCCTTGGAAGAATCACAGTTGTCTGGTGATTGTATCTGTTTCTCAATGTCTTCCAGAGAGCTAACAGATCTTCAACCGTTAAGTACTCGCTCTTTAGTCCCTCATCAAGATGGCGTCGAATAAAGATCATGGCATTCGCCCGATCTTGAGAGGATAAGTTGTTTTCTTCCCTAATGGTATCTCCAAGATTCCTTGATTCTAGATAGATCTTAGTATCCAGTACCCAGGTAAGGTAATTTTTCCTAGTAATGTCCAGGGCAACAAAATCAAGCTTTGCCAAGTTCGCCATTTTCTTTTCTTTCTGAAAGAAAAATGAGATGCGTAAGAACTTGCAATAATATGTATTCCTGGAGGAATATAGTGTTAGAACTTCTGGTTCTTACAAATTTTTCATTTTGATCTTCAGGCCAAAAATGATAAGCACTCGAAACTTTAGGCTCGAGATTTTCATGATTAATGAGAAGGACGATTGTACCGCATCATTCTCATCGAAACAAGAATAGGATGGGTGATTATTCCGCACCACTTGAACAGCAGAAAAATTTTAATATGCAGGGCAGGGTAGAGGATTATACGCACCACCTACAATTGCGATAAAATTATGCAGAGCAAGATATAATCGATTTCAATATGCAGAGTAAGGTGGACGATTATACCACACCACCTAAAATTTGCAGTAATAAATCTGCAGCTAAAAATGGGCTATTTGTACCACACCATCTTTGATCGTAGTGAAAATTAAATTTGCAGTTCAAGATGGGCGATTGTACCTCACCATCTTTGATTACAGTAAAATTAACATAAATAAACACTGGGTTAGAAACCAGGAACTGCACCAAACAAGAAATCAAATATATAAGTAACTGTTAAATTTAGAACGAGAAGCAGGCATGGTGCTAGCAGTTCATCGCGAGAGTGCATCACTCAGATGAAGCAGAAGAAGAAGAAAGACAAGAAAAACCTTAAAGGAAGCATTTTTTCTTTTTTCTTTCGATGAAGGGAGATGTGAACTATTTAAGGTTAGAGAGTCATGAAGATAACGTGTTATCAATAGACAAAAGTTAGACAGATAACCTTTCTAAGGACAGGAGCGAAGCAGGTGCAAAATATAACACTATGACTTTAGTAGCAATAACACAAAAAGGATGGCAGATAAAGAGAGGGAGGGATACTGATATTATTTCTCTTGCTTTCTTTCGCATTGCATTTGATAACAGATGGAGTGCTCTATTTATAGAGCGACTCCTGTAACTACAACCATCCACAAAACAATGATGATACTTTTGAAAGTATCAAACACTATTCCTAAGTCTTGTTCTTTTTGAGTGGGTATTCATTCATCCATCAATTTTACAACATATATATATATATATATATATATAATTTTAGGAGGCGAGGCTATCCATGAAACACCTCGCCTACGCCTTCACCTTTTAATACATTGACAAAAACTTGATGGTGGTGAGCAATTGCAACCGACTTGCATGGCGGGAAAGATTATGGTAAATTGTAGTGGGGCAAGGATTGCTGGTTTTTTTTTTTTTTTTTTTTTTTTCAATTTTTTAATTAATTATATGAGAAGTGTTTTTTTTTTTTCAAGAAGAAGAGTATATTTGATTAACTGAAAAAAAAAAAAAAAAAAAAAAAAAAGGGAGCATTACAAATACATATTATGAAGAACGTGGTCCCAAAAGAATCCTTACAAATTAGGTCTAAAAATATTACAATAAAGCATCATTACTGCAAAGCAATTA